CGACTAAACAAGTTTGACAAAACCTTGTGACAAGACCGAGAATCTTTTTTTAAATAAATTAATGGTATTCGATTTTTAAAACCAAGGACTTTTCAATTAAAAATATTTAATATGACAGGAACAGTGAAAATATTCCATTCCCGATACTTTTAGTGCAGCCTATATATTATACCAAAAGTATGACCGTTTGATATGGGCTAGGGTTTGTTTGATACCACGATGGCAAGTTTTTCCGACGCGATATTTCTGAACTATGTCTCTTTGTTCTTTTTCATTATCTACGTATACGACTCTTTTAGTGCATTCGAAAAATTGTACAAGTTCCCTTTTAAATAAGAAAATTACTAATTCCGAGAATTGTTTACGATGTTCTTCCTTTCCGAAGTAAATGAAGTATTTAGTTTTGTTCCTAGTGTATTCTTTCAGAAATTGCTTTACTAAGTCTGGTCGGTTTAAAGGTAAGTGTACTTCTAAGATTCTTTGTTTTTCCCTAGACAAGTTTTTTACAGATAATTTGTCTATGTTCCAGCTGAACACTAAAATTTGATTGGGTTTGGTATCGATCGCTTCCTGTAAAATTGGAATTCCCTGTGATTCAGTGTCTTGTCCTGAATGTGCGGTTTCTATACAAGAGGGTTTTTCAGAGGCGGTAACTGTGCTACTAGAAGCGTACGGTATGGAATAATCAGATTTAATTGATAGGGTTTTATCTGAGTCGGTATCCTCTATAACAATAGCCTTCTCAGAGTCTGTGTCTGAAATAGACATAGGTTCCGGAGGTGGTGGTCTAAATGTTCCTTTTTGCAATTCATCTAATTCTTTAATGTCTTTTATTAAGTCCTGAATTTTCTTATTTTTATCTTCGTCTTTATCTACATTTGCATGAGTGGATGAAATTTCCTTTTTATCTAAGGCATTAAGTCTAATTCGCGACAAAGCGTCTGCATTAGAGTTGTGCTTACCGGTTTTATGGACAATGCTAAAATCATATTCGGCTAGCCTTAAGCGCCATCTAGTCAGTCGGCTATTTGTTTCTTTAAGAGAGTTTAACCAAGCAAGAGGTTTATGATCGGTAATGATCGTAAACTTTTTGCCATAAAGATATGGACGGAAATGTTTGATACCCCAAACTATTGCTAGCAGTTCTTTTTCAGTTACACTGTAACGTGTTTCGTCATCGTTAAGGGTTCGACTAGCATAGGCAACGGGTTTGTCTTATCCTACTGGTCCTTATGAAATAACGGCACCTAAAGCAAATTCTGAAGCATCTGTAGTTAATATAAATGGCTTCTCAAAGTCTGGGTACATTTGTTACATATGGGGGCATTTGTTAGAAGTTCTTTGCATTTTTGAAAGGATTCTACGTATTTACTCAAGAGGCATTGAGCGTTTCTTTTTCAAGCGTGCTGTCATGGGTTGAGTTACTTTAGCGAAATCTTTTATAAAACGACGGTAATAGCCTACCAAACCAAGGAAGCTTTTAATTTCGGTTGTCGTCTTTGGTAAGGGATAATTTAATACGGCTTTAATTTTGTCATTGTTGGGTTTTAGTCCGTCACAAGTAATCGTGTGTCCTAGGTGCAATACTTCTTTCCTTAGAAATTCTGATTTGTCTAGCTGAACTTTTAGGTTTGTCTGTCGTAGTCTGTCAAATACAGTTCGTAGTTTGTCTATATGTTCCTGTAAGCTTGTGGAGGAAATGATTATGTCGTCTAGGTACACGAGGCAATGTAAACCTTGCAGGCCTCGTAAGACATTGTCCATGGTTCTCTGAAAGGTTGCTGGAGCTGTCTTTAAGCCGAAAGGCATACGTGTGAACTCACAGTGTCCTGACTGGGTACTGAAAGCTGTTTTTTGTCTATCCTTCTCAGATACTTCTATCTGATGATAACCACTAGCTAAGTCAAGTGTGGTAAAGTAACAACTACGTCCTAATTTGTCAAACAAGTCGGTGATGTTAGGCAAGGGGTGTTTGTCGTCTATTGTAATTTCGTTAAGTCGCCTATAGTCAATAACTAATCTATATTTCTTTTCGTTACTTGCATCGGCCTTTTTCGGAACTAGGTGCACTGGTGCACTCCAGGGTGAAAAGGATTGTCTAATTATGTCGTTTCGTAACATTTTTTCTACATGTTTATTTATTTCGTCGTTTATAACTCGTGGCTGTCTATAGGGTCGAATAAAAATGGGGTCTTCATTATGAGTTCTAATTTGATGCTTAACGTCATTCGTATAAGTAAGTGGTAATTGTTCTGAGTAAAATATGTCCTTGTATTGTAAACAGAGTTTTCGAATACTATTTCGTTCTTCTTGGTTCATGTGGTCTAACCGTAGTTTATTTAGGTTTTCAGTAAAAATTTTGTCTATTTCGATGTCGTTTCTGTTCCGTAAATTATTAATTTCAACTTTTACGTCATTATGTCTAGTCACATTCAAAGGTTTGCCTAGAACTAATGAAATGTTGTTGTCTAAAGTATTTTGTATAACTGTTGTCGCGTAACCGTTCTCGCATTTAACAAGAGCACTGGGCATTCTAACGCCATCACAAAATTCGGTATAATTTAATATAGCTTCTCCGTTCAATAAATTGGTTGGTAATCTAACTCTTTGTTCGCAACGCGGAGCTATTTTAATTTCGTTAGTTGGATTATAAATTATGGGTATGTTTGCTGAATTTGTCTGTAATATTTGGTTTTTCATATCAATTTTGGAATCTAGTTGTTTAAGATCACTTCCGATAAGTCCATCATAACGGCCGTCTACATCGTATATATAAAACTTATGTATCTGATCACTATTGAAAGTCGGAAATAACGGTATAATTATTACTTTATCGTGTAAACTAGATGCGTGAGTACTAATAACTTCAAATGGTTCGTAACGTTTAAAATTCGCAAAATATTCGTTTGTTTTAGACGGACTTATGAAAGATCTAGAACTCCCGGTATCTATCATAAATTTAGCATTAATTTCGGGTATTTCTATATATGTTAATTTTAATTTAGGGTTACAATTTATGTGTATTATCTCTGGGATATAAGGAATAATAGAAGCCTCGAATCAAAATTCGAGGCTTCTATTTGAACATTTTCGATTTCATTTGTTAGTTCTTGTTCATTATATTCGGGTATTTCAGGGTTTTCGCTATAAATAATTTCGTCTTCCGTTTGCGTGTGGTCTATGTCACAGTACTGGCTGTCGTCATAAGTATCGTTACCATCTTCGTTAATCGCGTATAACTCGTTCATACGAAAACCTTGAGGTTTCACAGGTGGGGCTGTACGCATGCTTACATTGGTTGATTGAAATTGTGGTCGTTGTAAATGAGATAGTGGTCTATAACCAGTGGGTTGGTGACCTTGGTTAAAGTTTGGTCTATATCCGAACTGTGGTGTTAGACCTAATTGCGGTTTATATCCTATGGGTTGTTGAGGGGGTTGTGACCTAATTCCAAATTGTTGGGGTTGCTGTGTTGGTAGCTTAATTTGCTTGCTTGGCGGTATTCCAAATTTAAATCTTGGTTGAAATTGCATACTACGTTCTGGTTGAGACTGCTGGGGCTGTTGAAAGTGAGGTCTCGTGTTCGGTGTGTGTTAATTTTAAAACTTTGTTGTGGCATTTGTGTATTTTGCGAGAAAAATGGTTTCATTGAAAATTTGTCAATGAAGGGATTTTGAGACACTGGCTGAGGTTTATGTTGGGCGTTGTTCGGTAATCGTAACATTTTATTTCTCGCCTGACATTGGTATAAGAAATTAACTTCTTCAAGCACTATGCTTAAAGCACTTTCTATAGTGTCACATCCTTTTAACCGTACAATGCGCAATAAATCATCAGGCAAATTATATAAGAAAACATTCATAGACATATTATGGTTATATATAGTAATTTTACTCTTACGAAGGTTAATATCTACTACTCTATTAACTTTCGCTATTAACGTACTCTTTATATATTGTATTCTATTGCAGAAATCGAGATATGATTCACCGTTATTAATTTTTAAAGTTTCCAACTCTATCGCGATACACTCTTCAGACCGTGGATCACCGAAATGTTGCTCAAAAGTTAATTTTGATTCTCCCCAGGTTTCAAGATCTGGTCTTTCACTACTAAGAGCGGCAGCTCTGCCTACTAACTTTGACGTAATCACTTGAAATATGTATAAATCTTGTTCTGTATTTCCTATTTCTCTACACAACTGTATAACATATTCACATTTACGAATGAATAATATATAAGTTAAGTAAATTTTCATCACCGTCAAATTTTGGAATAATACCAGAGAGTTCCTTGGGAATCTGTGTTATTTTAGGCATTTTTATTAAAGTATATTTATAATTAGTTTAATTTAATAAAATTTATAATAAATTTTTAATTTATAAGTTTGAATTTAATTTACTTATTTCTAAATACTTAAAAGAAATAATAACGCACTTCAAATTTTGGAAATAACGCTACCACTTTCTAGACACTTATAATTAAAATGGAATAGGATTGGAAAATGCAAATGGAATAGCGATTGAGTCTACTCACATACTGCCCATGTCCCTCCGATGAGTCTTAGTTCTGTAGCGTGACGTCCTCGCTTCGTCTCGCTTTACAACAGCACGCACGACGCGACCTCACTTTAACGCGCGAGCGGTATGACTAATCACGGTATGACAGATAACTAATCTTGCGTTATCATGATGAAAGACCACTCCTTTTCTGATTATCAATGCCAGCCGTTTTTTTTTTCTATTTCTCCTTGTCTCATTATTTATTAGTAGTAGAGATCCGAATCGATGGTTTTACCCGGCGGTAAAAGCTCATGATAAACTTTCAATCCCACCATACACACAGCATCATTTTATTGCGTGTTAATCCAGGTTTCGCTTTAGTCTCTAAACAAAACACATATCAATACAGAAATAAAATCACGTTTCTTGTATGGTCTTCATACAAAAAACGTGATTTTTTGGGTCCTTTAATATTTTACTTGTTTTCTTTTTTATTTTATGTTATAGCAGCAATATAAATACACATTCTGTGAAAATTCTACATATTACGGTTCATAAGAGACAGCCTACTGACAGACAGACGGAACGATAGTGAAGACTTGATAGTTTTGTTTATTGGTGGGGGAATAAAAAAAGTAGGTTTCAGTTTATAATAATGTTTACTTATTTCCCAAATTTTTAAATATTTTGTAATAACATCTATACCACACCTTAATATTGCATTTCGTAGATGTCGCAGTATAATGACTTAACTTGGTTAGTGGCATGTGCCGTCTGTTAAATGATTAACTAAATGCAATCTTTTAGTCGGATTGCAGTCCTTTTATTAAGTTTATTGATATAAACATATGGCAAAAGCATTGATTGTTTCTTTGTCCGAGTCTGTGATTAATTCATTAGCCAACAACATACCTTTCAAGATAACAGTATAAAAAGGATTTCAAAACAACAAATATACTTACAACAATAGTGTAAAAACATAATGCCCAATGCAAATCTCGAAAGTAAGTATAATTTTAATTTTTAACAACTTAACTGCTAAATTTTCTGTAGCACATAGGCTGTCTTTAACTTTTAGATAAAATAGATAGATAAAATTTTATATAAAATAATAAATAATAACAATTTAGTAAATCTCCTGTAAGATATAAACAATCTTTTTCTTTTACAACACAGAACTTGTCCGGCTTCAAATTAGATTTAGATAACAACAAACAAGATGTCTTTGTCTTTATTAAATATAACACAATGATAAATATCAGACTGTGAGAATAACATTGCAATATTTTACCTCTCTACATACTGTTTTAATATAAATATGAAACAAAAATAATGGTTGGCATAGTATCTGGAGTCCAATTCAAATATTCTGAAGAAGACTAAAGAAGATATCCATTAAACGTCACCTCACTAAAATCGCTCTTTCCTTGCACACAAATGTGGCCTCTCATAGAAGTTCCATTGACTGCATTTATTGTTTTTTCCTCATCAATAATCTTTTATTAAATTATTCACTGCCTCGCTCTAGAGGTTGAATGTACGACTGCTGAGCATGAGATCCCAGGTTTCAATCTCAAACTGGACAAAATTTAGTTTTTGGGTTTTTCTGTCAACAAATCCTCAGTAGTAGCACGGAGTGTTTGCAGCAATGTTTCACCCCGTACCTCGAAAAGTACGTATGTTGGTCCTGAGCTGAGGTGAATTGGATCTCATTAACATACAAACTTATTTTCTGTGATTCTATTGGAATTATATGTTGAAGTACAATCAAAATAATGTGTACACTACACAACTATTATTCATTAAAAAGTTACTACACATTTAATATTTCACCTGTTAACGAGATATTGAAATGAATACCAGTAGCCCAGGACTGTGCTTATTAAGCCTCATTTTAGGGAGGCCTATGTTCAGCAGAGACTTTTGAAGGGCTGTAATATTGATGATAATATACATTTTGTCTGATGATTGAACAACTGGCTACTAAATACATTATATAAACACCAACTCCAAAATATATCACATTAGATTGGCTGTTGTAAAGACAATATGGTAGAAACTTAATATTGAATGACTGCACAGAATTTTAAATTGTTCAATGTTTTTATGACATTTTAACTCTCATTATAGACAATACTAATCGTACAAGTTTTTCATAAATAACAAACATTAATGCTGCTGTCATCACAGTCTGTAACAATTTTGCTTCTAAACCACGAAACATAGTGGTTGGTTTAGATTTCATATCTCTAAACAAAGGTTTTAAATTAGTGCCAGCACGGAGTCTAGATTGAATCAACTGTAGTGGATAAGTTAAGGTTGTTGCAATAGCCTTTGCTATAGCACCAACCAAAAATGCTGCATAGTTGTCAAAATAACCAGCAGACATTAATTTTCTTTTCAATGCTTCATAAACCATGAATTGAATGGCTGGATTAGAAACTAAAAGCAGTGATGGTACTGTACCAGACCAAAGCCCATGCACACCTTCTTTTTTATAAACATCACCTAGGCCTTCAACAAGACTGGTGTAATTATTTTTTTCTAACTTCATTCTTGTGTTAACAACCCAAAGAGGAGATGTCATAAGAACATTAATACTTCCAGCTAATATACCAAACATTAAGTCTTGTATTGCGGAGTTACCTTTTGGAGTAAACCTACGTAATGTATGAAAAGAATAAAAATAAACAAAATTTGACACTGAAATGGATTGCAGAACAGGTGCCAAACCGCGGTACAATGACATAATTCCTTCATCATTTGCTAGTTGCACTAATAACTCCAATGACGATCCTTTTAATTTAGCAGCTTCATCAACTGAAAGTAAAAACTCATTTATTTTTTAATTAGATGTATTAAAGTACCTAAAAACACTACATAAATTTTTATGAAAAAAAATAAGAAATTCTCTGACAACGAATGTGTAATGCCCACTGCAGTGTTAAAGATAAATATTATAAATAAAAAAATATATTATTACCTTGAAGTCTTGATCGTAGTATATCCAATGGATAAAATACTGCCATTCCTACTACACTTCCCTAAAATGGTACATTGTGTTATTTAAATTTAATAATTTAAGTTATAAATTCAAATCATGTTAATCATAAAAACAAACCGTAGCTCCAGCCATAGCACGAACAAGAGTTTCATAGCTTAGAATAGAACGAGTCATTATTCGTAAAATAAAATTATATTCTTTAAACTCATTAACTAAATTAGCAACAATTAATTTATTATTTACAAGTGCAGTGTGTACATTCCGCGTCGTCTAACACAATCATCACAGACGATCACAGACTAACTTGGACTAACTAGTAGTAAACGTAGTGGTTATATTCTCTTTGACCACAAACTATATAGAAACACTACGCGTTGTCTTTGACTAGTAGATCTAGATTGTAGATTCTAACCGAATCAGACGGCGACAGGGTGACCATCTTATAAATACAGATCCTGCCTTACTTTGTTTAAAAAGCTGCCAAATCCTGCCAAAGCCTGTAGTGAAAAATGCCTAAATACTGCCAACTTTATGTACCATTGTATTAAACAAAGAAAAGTAAAAATACATATATAAATGCTATATTTCTTTAAATTTAAACATATCTTTCGTTGGTTTGAATGCAGTGCAACCGCCGTGCTCACCAATGCCTTGTTTAACGTACAAAATAGATAATAAATGTTTGTTTATAAATGTTTCGTGTTTTTGTCTTAATTAAATTTATTTGAGAGAATACTCTTTCGCATGTTGAATCCACTCATATTTTTTGATGTTTACTAGTAGCGGCATGCTCCTTTAAAGCGGACAACCGGGGTGCCAATTTGCAGTTACACAGACTGGATCATCTTTAGCTTTGGAGATCCATGATGAAAGTAAAAGATCTTGCTCCCATTTCGCTCTATACGGCCTTTCATATTTTCGTTTCATCACCGCCACCTATAATTAATATCGTCTACGAAATATTATTAACATCAACATCTTGTTAATAATATTACGTGGATTATGAAATCCAAGGCGATACCGAACTAAAGTACGTCTCTTTTATGACTGATTGAAATATTAACCAACTCGTGTAAATTCGTTTTAAGGTTATCAACATTATACACAAAAAAAAAATTAAAGTTGTTTATTGAATGTGATACAAACATAATACGAGAAATCGAGAAATACAGGGAAATCCAACCAACATGTTAACCAAGTATCTAGGGTTGCCATTTTCGTCATTTTAAGTTGCCATAGTGAAATCTATTTTTAATACCCCAATACTGTCAAATACTGCCAGGAATAGAATAGAATAGAATAGAATAGAATAGAATATTTTTATTCAATATACATTACATGTGTAATTCTTATTGAAAGTCGTTTTTTACTTTACTACTGATTCGAAAAAACCCTCTGTCCTGGGAAGAACCAGCAAGAAGAAGAACCAGGTTTTACAAAAAGTCAACCGATCATGCCAGAGGCTAAAATAAGAGGCCTATCCTGCCAAAATGGCAGGAACCTACCACATATGGTCACACTGCAGCCGTCTCACGAATTAAACTTACTCGACTTACTTTCAGCATCCTGATTGGTTGTGGCAAAATGATATATGACATTTCTTTTTTTTTTTCATTTGAAGCAGCTATATTACGCAAGGGACGTCCCAAATAAGCTTATTTATTAATTACCTGCAAAATTTATTTTTAAATATTGAAAATAAAATAAGGTAAATAAAAATGAAACAATGATGAAATTTAATATTTTTTTATTAGTTATTAATTTTTACTTTACAATAATTCAGTTTACAAATTTTATAATTTATTAATATATACAATATTAAAAAATATATTTAAAAAAAAACCAAATTAATTACTTAATTATCATACAGTCCTCATTTTAACTTTAAAATATTGTTCAGAAATTTAATAATTTTAATATATACAATATTAAAAAATTATAATCTAAACAGATCTCTACAGCACTTAAGTTTTTATATTACATAGCTTCATATTGACTTGGAATGTGCTGTGTCCCGCATCCTTACCTGAAACACAATCATTTACAGCCTTAATAAAAGCATTTTGCTCCATTTGTTCATAATCAAGATTTGTTCCATATTGGTAAAAATTGTATGCAACTACATAAAAATTAAAAATTGTATGTAGTTATTAAGCTTTGGCAGCTGACAACGGCTGATCAAAACTATTTTCCTGTAGAAATGAGTATATATTGTCTGAAATCAAAAAATTATACCATCAAAAACATAACTTGTAAAAACACCAAGCCTCGCAACTCAGTTCTTCTACCGTAAAAATTTGAGAGATCCATGTAATACCAAGTCGGTTAATTTATTCAGTCCCTACTTAAGGGTCCTTCTGTCTCAAGTTATTACGTAGTTAGCTAACTTAACAACGTCTTATAGTGACCACATCAATACTAAAAATCTTTTATATTTTCAATAAATAGATTGACTTGGCAATCGCATGAAAACACAATGTATCTCTCAAGTAATACATATTATATTAACCGGTTCGTTGCGGCACCAATTTTCGATAACTTTTAGCTGTGGCGGCGAACAAATATTGCATGACACGCTTGGCGTATCATGCGCCACAGACTGATCAGTCATGTGTAAAAGTAATGTTCTTTTTTATGGTTTTTTTACTTGTTTAGACCTAATTAAGTTTATTTGACATCAAACATCAGTTACAAACGGAAGGATACTTGTTTTTAGTGGGTAACTACGTGTTTTTCTATGTGTTTTCTTTGAAATTGAGAGTAAGTGACTTTTTTATGCAGAGATTACAAATCTTTTGTACTATTTTTTTTGTTTTATAAAAAAATCATTTATATAAGTAGGTACAGCTAAATCACGCTGGAAAATCTTGGTCCTTATTAAATTAAATTTTCACCTAATAATAACATTTGTAAATATGAAACAATCAAGATCCTCAATGTGGAAAAAAATAAGGTTCATGATTCATTGATATTTACAAATGTTAAATATTATTTATGATTATACAAATGTAAAAGTAAAGTCGATCTGAAAACGTCTAATTAGTAAGAATAGCAAAACAAGTGTTTTCAAAAGGTAACAAACGCCAGCGCTATACGGCGGCGGATTGACAAAAGACTATTTATTAGCGAACTTTTTTTATGCATGAACGGTTTTAAACTGTTTCAAGCAAAAATAAACCTTATACCATATCGCAAGACCACATGGTACTTCGTAGGTCTATTCGGTCATATGATAGTAATAAGACGGCAGTTCAACCATTTTAAGTAAAATTAAACAATAAGACAAACGCATTGTATTTTTTTTAACAGGAGGCTTGTTTTCCAGAAATTTATTTACAACTTGAGTTTGTGAGCGATCGCAATGAGTGCTATTATTTGTTACTTATTAGACTATTTTCCAACAACATGATTGAAAACCCACAAAGTAAAAAGAGTACCATGTACAAGTTAAAAAAAGGTTGTCAACCCCTAAAAATTTCTAAATATCCAGAAAAGAAGCCGCAGGCATGAACTACTTGCAAAATAATGAATATTATTGCAAAAATATTTGATTTTCAATATTTTTTTTCTCAAAAAGTACGTGTTTCCGCATATTGAAATTGTGTATGTGCTTATAAAAATGTAATCTTTCTGTAAAAATACGTATCAACACCAAACTCGACGGACGTCAATGGAAAGTCGTACCAATAGCTTTTCTATACAAAATAAAACTATGCTATGTATGTACTATGAACTTTAATTTTTGTTTTGAAATTTAACAAAATTTGTTATTTTTTTACTAGAAAATGTGAATGCTCTTGATGACCATCAGCATGCGATGAAAAGGCATTATGACCACACCTATTTTAAAACAGAAGTATTAGAATCATACTCACACATGATGCCAATAAACACGGGTAATTTGCTTAAAAACCATTAATTTTTTAGTTGTTACTTTGCAACCAATAACCGTTAGAAATTATTTTTATTTTCTATAAATGACGGATATAATGAACATAATATATTCTCGTCTATACTTAATTCTATGATCTATAAATTTATGTTAAATTGTTCTTGCAAAATGCAGCCGTCTACATATAAAGTAAGGATTATGGACTTCACAATACCCAAGGACCTTCAAGCTGAAGGAAGTTTCCAAGAAAAAGGTTAGCAATTATTGTTAAAATTAAAATTACCTACCTTTTTAATAATAATAATAATTAATTATTTTTAAAAAGGTAGGTAGGTTTTTGCGTTTATGTAATATTGACACGTTAAGTGAAAAGTCATCAGTGGGTGTACCCATAGTGCACTAGGTGGCAGTTGTACACTATTTTAAACTTATAGTATCAAAAGTTTCACCACTTTTATCTTATTTGGTAGCTTTAGCAAATTTAATATAATTAATATTAAGTAGGTAGGATGTCATATACATAGGTTCATAATGACTTATTTCAAATCAACATATTTTTTATAAAATTAAAGTAATCAATGAACTTACAGTTCACATGGTGGTAAGTGGCTAATGCAATTTATGATGCATTGCGTCTACCATCAAATAAAGAAGGCTAGAGATGTGTTGCATTGATCACTGGGGACTAAGATGAAATGGCCCTTCAACACAGCTTGCATTGCTATTTGGCAGCAGAAATAGGTTAGAGTAGTCTTAGACAGCAAAAGAAGTCCTACCACTTAGATTTAATAAAAATGTGTATGATAATGACTTCTCTAAATCTGTTTAGAATGTTTATATAATAATAAAATAAATTGGACTTGTTTTTATAAAATAGTTAATATATAGTTATTTTGGTTACTTCATAAAACCCTCTTACTTCTATTAAATATTGCATTTAATAGTTTATATTAATAAGAAATTTTATTAAATTATGTAAATAAAAATAAAATAGTTACAATAAAAAGATCAATAAATATATAAGACAGTTATAATAGTAATCTGGGGGCACGGCCGTATCATCCTTTCCTCGAAGCAGTTCAGGCCATATTCGGAACCCTATAACTTCGTTGTGAATAAAACTAGAAGCCTGAATTTTAAGTAACCAATTAGGAATTGTATAAGCTCAGTATATTTCAAATTTCATTAAATTTGAACCAGTAGTTTAAGAATTATAACTAGTCAAAGTTTCTTAATTTTGTCACTCACTGACTGACGGATCATCAAAACTCTAAGGCATTTCTAGCAGACGTAGAAGCTTCAAATTTGGAATACAATTATTGCGTAGTATATAAATCTAGAAAAAATTAAAATATTTTACAATTTCAGTCCAGTTTTCGAGATACATCAACTGC